ATAATATATTTATCCTCTCTATATATATTTATATATAGTCTAACACTAAATTTTACCTATTATAGAGTGTCTATTATACAGTTAGATATAAACACACAGATACCCTAGGTCTTCAAGAAGCTTATGAAATATATACTATCTTTTAATTCCATTTTCAGTTTTAACATTTTTAAAGTATAATAAGGTCAATGTAAAAAATAAAATTACTGTGGTGAGGTGACGAGTCAACACTATAATTTTCTGAACAATACTAGCACATCTCTTAAATGAAGAACAAATTTCATTAGGATTCCTTCCCTGAACAACCCAAACATGGCTAGGTTCTGTTCAGATAATGCACATATATCACATAAAATCAACAGGTAAAATGGACATTCCAATATTTTTGTTATTGAAAATTCCACTTCAACAATAATAATGAAAAAAATTAGTGTTATCTAAATCAAAGTAATTTAGATGGGGAAGATCTTTGTATGATTCTGAAAGAACAAATACTTGCATACACTTTTCTTTCTTTCTTTCTCTTTAGGAGACCCTTGGAAAAGTACAGCCTAAAGTAATTCCAAACAGAGTAGTTTTTTCATGTTTAAAAAAAACTCTGTATTATTTTAATGTCACATGTCAAGGCCTATATGTTATAACTATAAACATAGATACAGGTATTCTTGTAAGAGGAAAAGAAAGACATGGCAAATCTGTCAAAGTTATGTACAAGCAAACCCAAAATTGAACCCATGTTTTAAATATCAACTTTGAAAAATCAAAAACTTTCAGCTGACTGATTATTTCCTGGAAGGACTAGATCTAAATTCACACCAGACAGAACATGATTTGAGAAGAAATTTCATCCTTTATTTCAATTCATTTTTAAAAATGTGTTTTGTTAACAGCTAAGCATTCACAGAACTAGGAAATGAAGAATTGGGCCCTTACTATCTCCCTGGACTTTGTAGTCTCACAATTACATTGGTCTCACTGTTGCTAAACTGTCAACACACACACACACACACACACACACACACACACACACACTGAGCTGTTCTCTATCTTGTCCTACCGAAGAGAAGCACCACAAATACAGCTGGATATTTCAGGCCTTTTTGTACAAGCAATGCTGTAGTAGAAGTTTTAGGAAGAAAAAGTGCTTTGTAAAACCATCTGCATTCACTGCTCAAAGACAGTTTAGGAAAATACGGAGTTTTGTGAGGGAAATCAAGCATGGGTGCTAATCCTAAGTCGATAAGAAATTAACAGTCTACATGCTTAATATATTCAACCCAATCATTTTTAAAGAAGTTTCCATTAGGAAATGGAAGTTTTTAATAGATTCAGAAAAACTGGGTTCCCAATTCAGACTACCCTATGTGACTTTTGTCATTATCATCTTTTCTGATTCTTACAAAGTAAACCTAATTAAGAACCTCCCTCATTAGTCTTCCAGAAAAATTAGCACAGCTTATGCTAATTACTCCTGCAAAATTTAATAAAGTCCTTGAAATGGGAATAGTCTAATGAGGTTTTATTTATTGAACTAAGATAACTCCAAGGAAAAAGGTTAGGACACAAGGATATCCAATGTAGTAATAAAACTACAATTTATTCAATTTCTAAACATGAATTTTATTGCAAACCTTTTAAATTCAAATATGAGTTACTGCGTGAATATGTTAAATCAATCTCCCCCTTAATTTAATAACTGGCAGTCACTTTTTGCTTTTTACTTTAACAATAATAACTACACATAGCCCTTTACATCAGCGGTAATGCAATTTGCTATTATTAGTTCCTGGTCATCAGCTATTAAATCTAACACATTTGACTTTTCTCATGTCTACACAGCCCAAATATCTGGATCATTAGGCACAGGCTGGGTTTTGTGCCTCATAATCCAGCTATCTGGCATCAGGCAGAAATTTAATCCGGCAGTCAAACCCAGATGTACATTTCCTACATTTACAGCAATTTTCCTATAAACTTTTTTTGAAGTGACTTGACAAATTGGTACAATCGTAGAAAGAATGTGGGTCATATTTTTCTTACTTTGTTGCATGCCATTAGAATGAAGTAGAAACCTATTTTCTACATTACAGTATGCAACTGCTGATTTTGTTAATTCCACTTTCTGATAGAATATGCCAAGCCGATCTCCCCAAATCACTAGCAACAAAGAATACAGCCAAAATTTAACACAGAAATAGCTTGCCCTGCACCACTGCCATATGACCAGAGAGCTTCTTCTATCCATCCTATAAATAGTTTTCCTGAATAACCACTGCTAAAAGTCTTTGGACTGATAAAAATAGCAGTGTTCTTCCAAATTCTGAAGGACAAGCAATGAGAGTTAAAAATCATTGGTGCTCAAAAGGTGATTGCATGTTAAAATTAAGCTAAACTTTAATGCCAACAGTTGTCTATATACTAAGCTCTATAATTGCAAACTGTGGGCACCTTGTAAAAAAAAAAAGTTACTATTGCTACTAAAAGCAGGCTCCATAGGCTATTTTTACAAAATATTCAGGAATTCAAATCCATTAGTCTAAAAACAAATCAAATCCTAAGCACACAACACAGATATTATGTAATCAGTAACAGAATCAAATTGGAAACTATGAAATTCAAACACAGCTGCATCATTTTTTTCCTTTGCAGCAAGTTCATGGAATTGAAAAATCTTTTCTATTTTGTCCTTCCTTGCATAAGTTTTTTCGTGTTGTTATTCCTTTCCTTCGTTGTTAAAAATGGGAGTCTCACATATCACCACAGACAAGACTGGAGCTTTTAGAACCTTTGGCAGACTGAAGGACAGAAACATTGTGAAAACTTGGATGCAAATAAAAATAGCTAAAAGGGGGTTTTGCATATCAACTGGCATTACTGCATGAAAATAAAACTCAAGAGGGACAGTACAACAGTCAGCAAATAAACCTATTTCGGAACTTATGCATATGCACTGTGTTTCGGGCCTTTTCGGGCCTTTTTAAAGTACTCTATCTTAAGAGAGCGGGATTCGCTACACACTGTTTTCTACTTTGTCAAACCAAACGAGAAAAAAATGAACAGGATAAATGTCATGAGCAATATCTCTAAAGCCACCAACAGCATGAAGTGCGTACTTATTCTGCCTAAAATGTTTGAACTACCCCAGCCAAGAAAAGGTTTTAAGTACCCTACTGGGACAGATGCAAGGCGGCAACAATAGAAGCCACATTAATGCAATCCAGGTAACACAATCCTGTTTCAAAAACTCAGGCTGGGCTAATTACAGTGCTGCTGAGTCAAGTTTCTTATGCCATCGCAACCCACAGGAACAGGTCAAAATCAAATGTTATTCAAACCACAGTCATATCAACCTTCTATATCAGAGTCACAGCTTAAAACTAAACGAAGAACTTAAAAGCTTAACCCATTCACAAGCAAAAAGTGTTTTCACTGCGGGTGGCAAGGTAAGCTTCCTGTTATCATTTAAACCAAAAGAAACTGTGTCACAGAACAAAATGCTTATAATTTCAAAGTTTGGAGGTAGATTTGTACCTGCCCTTAATTAAAACACTGTCTTCTTAATAAAAGAAAAAGAAAACTTTCTTAAGACAACAAATGGTATTTTTAAGATGTATAATTAAATGAAACAAAGAGCTTAAAGGATAGATTTATTTCTGATCTTATGCATGTGACAACTCACACGTCCCTTCGCAGAAAAGTCAATTACATGAATGCTATGTCTGCTCTTCTAGATGCACATGCTACCCCAATTCCATAGGCAGCACACAACAGCATTAGCCTCATCTCTTAACTTCAAATGAAATGCTAATATTCATATCAAGCAAAAAAAAACACACAATAAATATTTCGGAGAGATGATTATTGGTTATCAATATTGGGTTTACATCTAAAAATATATAAATGTCAGAAATGAACAATCCATCTCAATGTAAGTAATGATGAAGCAAAATAAAAACTTGATTTCAGGATCTTATGACCTGAAAGATGATAATCAAGTTCCCAAAAGATGAAGAATTGAAACGACAGACAAGTATCCTCACTGTTGTTATCAAAAGTTATTATTTCCAAAACCCAAAAAGGAGTTTTGTTTGGCTATTGGTTTCCTCAGTGAGGGATCAGGTCTGTCTTATCCGCAAGTCTTTTTCCAGCTAGTAGAGTACGTTAGCTCTTTGCTTAACTGACAATTGACAGTATCTATAAAGCTTCCAGGCCATTTAATTCTCAATGAGTAATGCTATATAACAAATGGTTTATCATACATGTTTCCATACAATGAATTTCAATAATTAAAATGTAAAATGAATATTTGGAATGTGATTTTGCATAATGTGTGCTCACACTGATTCAAAATTACACCAAACAACTAAAACAGATTTATTGTTCTACAGTGATTTACTTGGTCATGTCAGATTAGTAATATGGATCTGTTTAAAAACACAATAATTAAGACAAGTAGGATAAATTAATCAACTTACAATACAGCATGAGCTACAATCAAACCCGGGAAATAACAGTGGAAAATCTTGGTTCACAGATCTCTTTAAACTGCTTTTATGCATAAATAAAACCTTAAAATGTAGATGGATTACGTCCAACAGAACTACTGTAGCTAAAAATGATAATGATTCAAACATTTTTCAAATAAAAGTTAAATATTTATAAGTACCCAACCACATTTCATAAATCAAAAACTATTATTATTTTATTTCTGAAGCTTCCTGGCACAGCATGAGGGTTGAGCCATAGAAAGTCAGGAATGAAAAAAATATTCCTTTAGGAGCATGAATCAGACACACAACCAGCGCAATCCAAGAAACAGGCCTCCAAAGAACATTCCATATGGCTTTCCCAGGAATCACAATTGCTCGGCGCAGCGCAAAGCAAGACCAACAGTCAAATTTCAGCCACATACATTCCTAACCCTCACCCATGAGCGACACGAGGCAGGTGTTTCATTATAATGAGGAATAAGAATCCAGTGAAAGAAGAGTGCTCCCTACCTGTCAATTATCACTGGATCTGAGGGTGTCTCATTTCGGTTGCCACAGCTTTTCTTGTCACAACAGCGGCTATGAAGCAAAAGCGAAAGGATTTAGTACAACCATTACAATGTAAAATCATCATTTCAGTAGACAGAAGGTTCAAATTGCTGGGTTGCAAATGCTAGAATTACCACAAAGCCATACCTGGCAATCAACAGATCCCTGGGACAGAAATTCTATTTGGGTCACCTATGGGTTAACGGCCAGGCTTAACTTCTCCCTTCTCTGAGAAGGAAGCAGGGAGAGAGGCTCTCCAACAGCCATGGTTGACAACGCTGAAGTGGGTCTCCCCATCACTGCCTCTCAGTACACTGGGATTACATCTACCCAACAAGAACACTCAGGGTTGTGGGTGGCTCAAACACGCTTCCCTCAAGATCACATTAGTTGTGTGGGATATATTAATAAAAAGGTATGAGCGACTTCTCCCATTCCAGTCATTCTGTATTACACAAAGTCCTTTTCCTTTGCCATTCTCTTCTATGGGTAGCGTTTCCTTCACCCAAAACCTTTCCAAAAAATGCTAAAGCTCTAATTGTTTTTGAATAATCTTCATAAGAAGACACGTAAAGCACAAAAAATAAAATAAGCATAAAGCCAGATTTTTTTAAAATGAAGATTCACATTCCTCTGGCTTTCAAGGCCTACACTGGCACCGTTTCAGCTTTGCAGAAGTTTACGGGCCGTGGATCCAATGGCTAGCGTGGCCCTGACAATGGACACTCTATACCAGATCAGAGAGAAAATAGCCAGAGGCAGGCAAGAAACACATCTGCCACTAAAACACCACCCAGCTGTGACCTTCAGGCTGTCAGGTTTTTTTGTTTGTTTTTTGTTTTGTTTTGTTATGTTTTAACTAACATGTTTCTAGATGATGAGAGATTCGTGTTTTGAAAAGTACCCATGATCAACCCAAAACTACCATTCTGGGACTTGTTTTCAAATAAAAAAAAGTATGTCCCCTGGGGCACACCATAAAGACACTTGTATGATCCTTCCAGAAGATGGAGACGTTATCCAAGGCTTATACTTTAGCATATACACAAGCAAAATACATATTTTCCTTCTTACACATGCACATCTACATATGCACACACAGGCTTAGTGAATCACACAACCTAAATTTAGTGAACTACAGCAAAGAACAAAGTTGAACTTCACTTCAGGACATGGAATATACTCTTGCACAGTGAGTATTTCACCAAAAGTGGGAGAATGTCTCTCTCTCTTCATGGTAACTGTAAGTCTGAGAACAGAACCAGCTTCCAAATCTAGTGCTAATTCTGCTTGTCTCTCTTATGTTCAAAAAGAATGGTAATAATTGTTATTTCCTTTGTAAAATAATAATAATAAAAAAAACAGCTACAAAAACCACACCATCAACTGAATAGCTCTCTCTTTCTGGTTCTGAGGAAACTATCTCCTCTGAGTCCGTCCTTTGCTATCACTAGCATTCTAGCAACAGAAACCCAAAGTAGCCTGAGATCTAAGAGAGAAAAAGAAGCAAAGGAGTGGGAAGTACAGGTAGCTGGAACACATGCAAAAAAAAATGGTTTATAAAATAAACTCCATCATCCTTGGATGCTGACTCCCCACACCTCCATGTCATGGACTTGACAGGGTAACACAGTGGTAAGAACACTGGATCTGCAATCAGAGGCCCCTATGATACCTTGTGCATGGTATTCTTCATAGAGCTTCAGTTGCCTCATATACAAAAGGGGAGAATTGTAACCACTCCCTTGAAGTAGCCAGGAGCATACTCAATGCAATAGGAATACAAAGCCTGAGCTCTGTGGTTGGTTCTACAAAAGGCATCAACCACTAACACTCCTTTCCTCTAGTCACCACCTCTTCCAACACTGAAAAAAAAAAAAAGACCTGTTCTTTGCAGGGGCCATGTGTCTCCAAAAGCAGCCCACTGGCAATGCAAGTTCTTGGTCATTGCTGTCCTCTGAACCTAAAATGCTCTCCACAGACTCTTCCAACTTGCTTGATAGCTGAGGATAAGAATCTATATATCCTCACTGCCGCCATCCTCACCCAAGCCACTTTCATTAATCAAGTGGATCCCTACAGTGGTCTCCCACCTGCTTCTACTCTCTCATCTCCTCTAACAGTCTTTTCAAAATGTTACAGGATTTTATCACTTTGCTGCCCAAGACCTTCCAATGGCTTCCCACTACAATTAAAATGAATCCTTGACAGGACAGGACAACAGCCCACTACACACCCTCCTGATTCTTTGACCAGACTCACTGGCAAATACCTAGTCTTCCACTGGGCCATGTGCAATCAGACCTCAGGCACAGACCCAGGCAGGCATCTCCACATGGACTATTCCTCCTCTGGTCTATTCCTGGTCAGTAGACCAGTACTCTGCCCTCTGAATCCAGCCAAAACTTCTAAGAGATGTGCCCATCCTTAATTTCAACTGGATCCCTTCTAGAGGTACTTGTGCTTTAGAGCACTGAAAACAACAAACTATACTGCTATCTGTACATCTGTGTATTATTGTACTATTCTCCCCACCAGTCACCCTCTCTTCTAACCTATGTGCTTCATAAAAAAAAAAAAGCTATCAACTTACCTAATAAGTAGTACAACTTCTAGAGTAAACCAGGAAGACTCAACTATGCATTGACTGAATGAATGAACAGCTTCATGAATGAATGGTAGATACTGGAGGAAAAGTACAGTGCAAGAGAACAGGAGGAACATACCAAACCACCTTCCCTCAATGAGCACCACACTAGGTTGCAATCTGTCCTTTTGCTTAAGTACAGCCTCCATCTCCTTGAAACGAAAATGCTCCTAAGAGCAACCAGATTATTTTTTTCGCCATGTCTGTATGCTGTTTCCCAAGAGGCCCAGGGAAACTGACAGCTATAAAAACAGTCTAGAAGGAAATATAGAATGGAACAGAGAGAATGGGGGAGAAAAAGCAAAGAGGCTGGGAAACACACAAAAAAAGTTTTTGCAAGGTGTGCAAAATAGCCAGTAGATTTCCTATTTCTTGAGTGACATTACTGCATGACATTGTTATTATTTGTATTCCAAAATGGGACACTCATGCTTCTGTTGTGCACCTCAGTGGATTCCAAACAATGCTATGGAGTGATCCCACCAAAAAAATACAGCTGGATGTGCAAAGGTGCACAAACACTCACACATGCTTACGCAAAATGCCATGTATTTACAAAGTTGGGTTTAAAGCACTATCATGTAAAGAAGTTGATGCAGTGAAGAAACTAAATGGCAGAAGAGCAAGTACAGTATGGTCCCATTTCTTGGAGAAAAAGAAAGGGAAGGAGAGGGAAGGAGAGCATTATCACAGGCATGGTTCCCTGCCTCACTTCACACAAACCTGGGAGTATTAGAATTATTTCAGAAAGGCTCTCTCTGACTATTCCAGAATACTCCAGCCATTGTCCAATAGGACAGAATCTTAGGCATGTTTTATTCAATTCTCCATTGTATGGTACTAGAACAGACTGACACACAGTAGGCCTTTGGGGAATATCTTTTGAATGAATGAACAGGAACTTCAAAGAGCTAACCTGTAGGGAAGACTGGCCACAGGGAATGATGCAGTGTTCTGCTCTGTGCTGCAGTATTGCTTTCCTATTTGAAAATTACATTGAGCTGACCTCTATTCCCTGTAGCTTCCTAGAGGTAAGCAGGTCAAGCACCTGTCCTTACCCTCCATGCTGGTCTTTCCTACCTTTGCTGAGTTCTCCCTTCTCAAGCTGAACTCCCTTGATCATTTCTCCTACAAACCAAAGGACCAAGAAAGGAGAGAGCCACCTCCACTGAATACAAGACAGGCGCTAACCTGGAAGGACAGGTTGAGGAAAGGACAAATTCACCTTTTTAAAACAGAAGAGGGTGCCTACTGAACTAGTTCAATAAATGAAACAGATGCCTCAATCACTCTTTTTGCCTAAGGTATTCAAATGGATATTTTATACTGAAAATTTTGTGCCTTTAATATCATCTTCAGAACCATAGGGTGTTTGGTGAGTGTATGGGTGTGCATGTATGTGTGTATATATTTTACTGAATGAAGAGCATATATTTTTAGAGTCAGACATTTCTGACTCAAAACCAACTTGCTATTTTATAAATATCCCTTATGGATGCTGAGGCAGTGGTATAGTAGGCTATACTACACACAGGCTATCCTCTGCCTGTGGCAGAGCTTTCCATATGGATGCCAGTTCGTGTCCTGCCTGCTCCACTTCCAATCCAACTCCCTGTTAGTGGTCTAGGAAGACAGCAGTGAATGACTCAAGGCCTTGGGAGATCCAGAGGAAGCTCCTGGCTTCTGGCTCCTGACTTCAGACCAGCCTAGCTCTACCACGATGACCATTTGGGAATTGAACCAACAGATGGGAGATCTCTCCCTCCCTCTAACTCACTTCCAAATAAAATGAGACATATACAAAAGCACTTAGAGGAGAAGTTACCATGTTAACAAGAGAAATCATAGCAATAACTGTCATATCCTCACTACAGTGTGATTGAATGGCTTCCATCCATTCAAAATAGCATATTTAGGCTCCGACTACGCATGCCAGCATAAACTTGGTATTTTCTCTCTAAAACAAGTATTTATTAGTTGGGTTGGAAATTTCCTACTTGGTTCATCACCACAGAAAAATCGAAAGCACCCAAATGGTATCAATGTTCACATCCCTTTTCCAACCTGCAATCTGAGTGAAAGGAGAACTATGTGGCCAGCCACAGCAATGGCTTCCTAACACGTGGTATCATCTATAGATTGTGAGCTCAAAACAGCAGCCCTTTCCTTAGTGGGATCATGTCTCCCAAAAAATTCTGCATTCTCACAGAGAAATAATAGCCCGAATAATCTCTTCCTTTGCAGTCATCCCTGGTAGTGAAGTGACTCACAGCTTCATCAATCGGGGAAAGAAACATTCAAAATTTCCCATTCCTGGAATGCAGATCTTCATCTACGCCCTGAAACTTCTTCCTGAATGTAGAAGCTCTCTAAACCAAAGAAACACATCATTCCAAACCCTAAGCTTTTAAAAAAAAAAAAAACAAGAAGAAAAACACCCAAGATGCCTCCTTTATTTAGATGTCTCCTTTATTTAGCCAAATGGCTGGAGAATGAGATAACTGAATTATGAGGACAGTCTGATTAACTGTTACAGGATGACTAGTTTTTAAAGAATCTAGTCCAGACTTTTATATACTCTATCTTCTACTCTTAATCTCATAACTAACTCAAGCACTGGAGCTTTGGGGTCCCTCCTTTGCATCTATCCATCAATGACCACTCCTGTGCTTGCATTCTCCTTACTCCTGAGTTAATTCTTCCCTTGCTGTACATACACCACACACATCATCGTGCTCTTTCTTTTCCCTAGAGTTTATATCTTTGATGCTCTTCATTCTCCTTATAAGTCTCCATCACTCCTTGAATCCATCAGCACCTGCTCAGATTTCCTTTTGCAAAAAACACCATGGACCTCTGGTGCTTTCCTCTGTCTTCATACTGATCTGACCTCCCTAGAACTTACTGTACGGATGAGTCCACTTCTTTGAAACATCCCCTTCCTTTTATTTTTTAGAGTTCTGCATGCTAACCGTTTTTTCCTGGTTCTCTAACACATTCCCCTTCTTTGCTAATTGTGTTTATTCCACAAGAATGTATCCATGGGGGCCAGCTCCCAGTGTAGTGGCTTAAGTCACTGCCTGCAGCATCAACATCCTATACGGCTATCTGTTCAAGTCTCAGCTGCTCCATTCTCAATCCAGCTCCCTGCTAATAGGCCCTGGAAATCAGCAGAAAATGGCCAGTTACTTGGGCAACAGTACCCACATGGGAGACCTGGAGCAAGTTCCTGGTCCCAGGCTTTGGCCTGGCCCACCAGGGGCCATTACAGTCATCTGCCGAATTAACTAATAAATGGAAGATTCTCTAACTCTCCTTTTTCTATTTGTAATTCTGCCTTTCAAATAAATAAATAAACCTTTAAAAAAAAAAAAAAAGAACAACATATACATGGTCACTTCACTTTTCTTTCTCTCATTTTTGTCAAGTCTGCAAAAGCCCAGAACTTTAACATTCATCTTTGGGGAAAGGCCTCTAAAGTCAGTTATCTTTGACCATATGACTCTCTTCCTAGCTCCAGCCCAAAGGTTTCTCTATCTGCAAACCTCTGCTAAGACAAAAGCTTTCCTTCTATGGAATCCAGTCTTTGCTGGCTGTGAATTCCACAGGCCTTTGCATATGGTATGTACTAAAAGAATGAAAATAGACCTAATAACAACTGAAATGACAGTTATGTTTTAGTGAACAGTTCTTTCCAATGCTCCCTTATCATGGTTCACTCTGAGTCACTATTAACCTAGTCATTGCTACTACTACTGCTTCTTCTGACAATGCTGCTCTGATTACTAACAGCAATATCATAGAGGCTCGGTTCACACTGTGCCAAGCATTTGATAAACACTCATTGGGATCAAAGCATTTAATCCTAACCACCAGCCTATAACTAAAAATAACACTACTACCCTCCCATCTTGCAAAAGGGACAACTGAAACACAGAGGAAAACCAAGGAACTTCCCTGTCTTCAGGGAGCTCTTACTCCAGCAAAGGAAATCAGAGGGTGGGCAAACAATTAACTACTGCACTGAGTGTTACAAAGGGAAATCACTGCATTTAGGGCTGCATGACAAGGGAACTTGACTCTGACCTAGGGCCAGGGAAGCTTCCCTGAGGAAACCACGCCTAAGTGGGCACATCAAAAGACTGGGCTAACCTTGAGAACTCACAGTCCTTCAAGAAATCTTGCACTAAAGTGGAAAAACAGCTCCTATCCTCTGCAACAGTCCCGCATCGTTCAGTACAACTGGAAGCCAGGAACTGGTCCCTACCCAGCAGCATAACACCTATTCTCCTTTCAGAGTTAAATGCAGGAGGGCCCTATGATCAAATCCCCTAGGGAATACTGCCTTTAAAAAAATTGTTCCTGGAGCCTTATCATTCCAAGAACTTAACCACCAAATGCAAAATGTTAAGGATGATTGGTATGATAAATTCTCACAGAATTTCACAGAAAGAGCTCCATGCCATCAAGACAAAAAAGGTTTCATCTCTGAGTGGTAATAATTATAATCCAGAGGTGGCAATTCCTTTAGTCACCCCATGTAGTGGGGTCACCTTCTCCACAGAACACAATGGATTTTTAAATTCTTCAACCACTTGAGACACTCTGATGTTTTCTTCTGCTTCCCCCCACCCCCCACCATTTCCTTTGCCTGCAACAAAACAGCATCATACCAAGTCCTTTCTTGTCGATCAGAATTCTTTCTGTCTCCTTTACCAAGGCCAACATACTATAAATACACAGCTTGTGTGACATCAACACAAAGTTTTATTGCACTGTTAGGTTTGATAGAAAGCACTGCAGAAAGTTGTTTAGAAATTAAATATCTAAAACAAGCTATTTTAAAATCCAAGGCCCTCACTATTTCATGTCTGCAATGGAGAAATTTCATCGTGGGGAGAGCAAGCTGTCTTTCACACCATATGGCTAATGGTGGTGCATAGCAATTAGCCAGGCTGATTAATGGCGAACAAACTCTAATTTTATGCTTATAATTGAGCCTGCATTTGCACCCCTGGTGCAAATTCAGCACATCCCAACTTCCACTTACAACAGGCAAGAAATCAAGAGAAATAGGATGATGTAGAAAGTGAGAATTTTTTCCTAAAGCCCCCTAAAGAGCATCAGATTTGCAATTTAAAAGACTGTTAGCCACACAATAGATGACAGGTTTGTGTAATAGGGTCATGGCAGCCTGGTAAACAAACAGTACCCCTTACACATCTATAGGCAGCCAAGAAAATCGTAATCTGTAACATTAGCAGGATGACATTTTGAATATGGCTTTTCCCTCTTAGCACACAGTACAAACATCATTTGCTTCCAGTGGCTTGAGAATTTTATTTTTGCTATTTTTATGTTTCTGAAAAATAGAAGGAACATCAGCAGTAAAATACACCAACCAGCATAATAAAGTGCTTTGGACCAATGAATTTTAAAAACAAGAAAAATATAAACTGCATTAATAGAGGGTAGGCCTGCATGTGAAAGGCACAATACATCCTTAACTATTTCAAAAACAGAATTATTGCCAAAATAGACCAAACGTACAGACATGAGATGCAAATCCATTACATTACTGGCCTACTCATTTTATCTGGATCTATCTTTCCATTTACTATTTTGCTAGAATCACAAATAGTAGAACATGGAAAATTGTTATTGAGAACATAGTAATTGTAGAAAGCTAAAATATCAGAAAATAATAAGATGAAGGAGTTCATGTTTTAACGTTTTTCAAAATGGATGTTACTCATTGATATCTGAAAGGTGCAAATGAATTTATTTTACAATTGTTACAGAGAGCAGAATTCTAATTTTTGCCTAAAACTATCTTATAAGTAATATATTACCATATTTTTAGGTCTCGCTACTGCTTTAAAGTTAAAGAAAAAACAACCTGGTTCTGGAACAATTAGCAAGTTTCAAAAACAACCAAAGTGTAAATTTATGAAATTTATGAAATTCTTGTATGGTTCTGAATAATGTATTAAAAGTATGTGTTTTTTTTTTAAGAAAGGGAAAATGTTTGATATACACTTAGAATTATAGACTTAGATGTTAGTATTGGGACTCTCACTCAACAAGCAAACTTTTCATTTTACTTCCACCTGTAGTGTTTAAGGTAGCTTTCTCCACAAGTTCATGAGCAGCAAATAATGCCCACCCATGCTGAGGTGGCAGCTGAAGGCCTAAACGGATTGGTCATTGAGCGCAAGCAGCCAAGCACGTTTTGTGCCAGGTAGCGCCTGCCTGGCTAACAAAGCAATTAGGAGCCTTTCTCTCATACATACTGGCATCTTCATGCTTTATCCAATTACCTATTAGGAGCAAAGTGCCCTTGTTATTTTCTAAAGAAGAAGGCAAGCTACAAAGCTGTCCCCCTTGTCTCCTTCCCACAGGTAGAGGACTGGCTGAGGTCAGGAAGTGAATTCAGTCAGCCTGCCTGTTGTCAAGCCTTGCCTGAAGTCCCAAATAAAGACACTAGTTCGTGAGAAATATGAATTTTTAAACCTTTTAGGGAGACGTCTTTGTCATGCTTCCAAAATATCACTACCTCTGAGAATTATCGGCTCCATTGTCAGAGCTACCAAGCAGGATTGGGAAGAGAGCGGATGTAAGAAAAGCAGAGCAAAACAAAACAAAGCAAAATCGAACAATAAACGCCCCTCATCCAATGTAAAGAGGAGTGATGCCTAGATGTGGGAAGCCATATTTTCATATGAGAGAATTAAAAATCAGGAACTATGACTTTCATCTCTTAACCCAGCAGAGTCCTCAGCTGACAGCAATAGAATTCTTACTGATTTTACTAGTAATGCAGTTGAGCGCATATATTAACACTAAAAGGCTTATATTGTATTTTATTCGATTGTAAGGCAGAAGGGGGGCATTGCTTTGTGCCCATTAACAGTATGATATCAAAATGGAAATGGATGTCTTTCAGGATGAAATCTAATACATAATTGAGAACTACTGTGATGCCTGACACTTTACTACCAAATGCTCCCATCTAACAGTTCTTTTCAGATTGTCTACCAAGAGCAAGATAAATGTATACCCAAAAATAGACCTGAGTTCACCTAGATCAGAAATACAAATTTTCCTCTCTTTGCTAATTAGAGAGAGAGACCAAGGTGTTTCTTACCTGCACATGATCTCGTGTGTGAGCAAGACTCGGCACATTTCTGGGTTCTTGTCTTGGCCTTCATACACTATGGCCTGAAAGCAAAGGCAAGATTTTAGGTAAACGTGGAATCAAACGGCAGAACACAAAGCATCACAGCTGAGTCTGAGACCACTTCAGCACTGCTGAGGCCAATTAGCTTTCAGGAGCTGAAGGCCTCACTGAGCTCACTGTTTCAGGATCAATCCAAATTCAGTGGAACTGGACGTGTGCCGCTCTGATCTGTCAACCACTTTATTATAATGCACAGCTCTGGATTCAGGTATGGAATGGACTTCTACAGCTAAGACATCCACAATTTCTCCTTTCAATATCAGATTTTTTTTTTAATGTAATTATCTGGAGAAAAATTCCTGAAGACTTGGCATACTGAGACACTGTTTATTCAGAACATAGAAAAGCATGTGAATTTGATTTTTACATGATATGTGTTTGTCTCCTCACTTTACAACTTCTGGTCCCAATATTTAGTGTTCTAGTGGAGAATGGCAGAAAATAGGTGTGGGAGAGCTAATGAGTCCATTCACTAAAAGTGTCATTCTTTGAAATGATTCATCAATCAGGCAAAAGCCTTTTTCCCGCCAACAGGCTGAAAACATGTGATCTCATGGGGTGTACACCCACCCAGACAGGAATACTCGCCCACATATGCTGTGTGGAGGCTTAAGCCACGCAGTGAGCTCACTCAACTAAGAAGAATTACATCGGACTCAAAATGTGGAGTCCCACACCACCTCATCAGCTGATAATATTCGTCTTTCTTTTTTAAATGTGTGAAAACATTTTGCATGAGGACATGGAGAAGGTTCCCAGGGACCTCAGCTTCCTCACAGATCTACATGTTAATACCTAGGCCAAAAAAAAAAAAAACACAATTATCAAACAGAACTGTACTCTGTCCAGCGACACACTAATTTAGCATTTGATCACTGCCCAGCGCTCACATAACACTGCTTCAAATTGCTAATAAAATTACTAACATAATTTCTACAAACCTCAATCAAAAGTACTTGGAATGAGTACATCTTACTTATATCTGCTACACAGAAATGCTGTAGTAACTAACTTGTAATTGGCTCTACTGTGCTTTGTTTTTGAACCCAAGATTCTCAAAAACCTTTAATGACATATACAACAAATGAAGAACCAAGGGGAGCAGATTGTCAGGACAGATTCAGTTATGATTTCAGACCACATTACAAAACAAACTTTGTAATAAGTTGAAAAATAAAAAAACATACTTGCATGAACAGAAAGCATTTCTCAACCACTGGCTCATCAAAACCATTTTTAATGCCTAACCTATCATAACCCTGTATTTTTAAAAGATGTTTTTACTTTGAAGTAATTCTAGACATAGAGGAAACTGGCAAAAATATATAAAAAACTCCAGTATACACTTTACCAAGATTCTTCAGATGTTTGCATCTTACAAAATCAACTTTTATCATTTTCTCTCTACTTTTCCCTGAATCATTTATTAGTAAATCACAGGCATGTTCTGTTTCCTTATAACAAGCATGCATTTCCTTAAAACAAGGAATTCACTTGCAAAATCACACCAAATTTATCTAAATCAAAAATTAACATTGACATAGCACCAATAATCCAATGTGCAGACCTTACTGAGATTCACCAATTATCCAATAATAGCCTGTACGCAAAAGAAAATCCAATGCTAATCACTGCATTCAGTTGCTATGTTTCCTTTAACAGGGGACATCCCTAGTCTTTGTATTGCATAACACTGAGATTTTTGAAGGATACAGGCCAGTTATTTAGCACACTATCCCTCTGAGTGTCCTCAGATTTAATATTGTGTGCTTTACACAGCAACGCCCGGAGGTGATGCTTAGTACCCAGTATACCAAAGCGTGTAGTGGACTAGTTCCACCCTGGTAACATAAACACTGACCATTTGCTTACAGTAGTGGTGGCTGTCCACCAGAAATCATCAACCTGTTTCCCCATTGTAAACTTACGACTTTACCAAGTGTAATCCACAGACTATTTTTTGGAGAGATGATTTAGGTCATGTTAGTGTATTGTTATGCCTCAGATTTCCAGCACTACTTATAGCAAGTACAGATTATTCTTTCCTCTATTCTTGAAAGACCTTTCCAAAATCTTAAGAAATTACTTCACTCAAAAACTTGCATTGATTGTAAATGTTTTGAAAAGCAAAAGTCGTATCTGCTTGTTTTGTTTCCTGCAATCATTGCTGAAGTTTAGAAAAAAAGATAAATTATTGATTAGATCTTCTACTTGGTGCCAAAAATTCTAATGACACATTTCTGTTCAGTCCTATCATCACTACGTTGTTTGCATGTTCTTTTAATACACTTGATAACCTCCCCTTCCATTTCAGTATTTGCCATGCTAAACAAAAACAAGTAACTTGGTAAGTGAGTTCATAGATATTGGTGAGGTTTCACTTACTATTTTTTTTAAGTTGTTTTTTTTCTAGTAGAAGGAATATTAGCTACATTAAACCTTCTCATTTGATTCCTGCCACATGAAACAAATTTTATTTTGAGTGACCCGTTAAAGTACAATTAAAACTTGTGCATAAGCTCAGAACTTCACAAATACATGATGTGAGCTTTAAGAAGTCCCATATTTTGCTTCTTTGCTTCTTTTGTTATTGTTCTGGGGACTGAACATCACTTGTTTAAGACCCAGAGCCTCCATAATACATCTCCTTACCAAATACCACACTGCCACTTTGCTTCTGGCAGCAGAGTCAAAACAGAAAATTCTTCTCCAAATCAAGCATAGAAAAATGAAAACATGAGTTTGGATTTGCTCAAAAATAATTAGAAACTTTGGGATGGGGTAGAAGCATGAAGTTTCTGCCTTCCTCTCTCTCTAAAGGCCTCAACAGAACAAAATATTTCAGCACATAAAGACAGAGAAAGACGTTGCCCTGACTTCAGAAATAATAGCAAGTAAAACTCCACAAGCAGCAGGTCTAAATCCTGTAACTAGAGTACTTCATAACCTCAGTGAAACAACAAGCCCACCCCTAAACCCATGCAAACATTTTTTGTTACTAAAGGAAGATTATTATTTCAGACACATACACACCCACAAAGATGCCCATGCACACACAATGATGCATACATCATATAGAAAGTATTGGCCCATTAACATTCTGATGGCATCCAGTATGGGAAGATATAATAAATTTATTTTGATGAATGTTTCTGATGCACAGTGGCAACAGTAAGACAGACTTCTTAAAAATGCCACCAAGTTCTCCCTCCAGCATGCATATCCAAATGACAGCCACACATTAAATCTTTACATCTACACTTAGGCGCGCACATACCAACACTGGCTCACCGTTCAGCAGATGCAGACTTTAACCCCAAAAGGATAGGGATCCTTGAACATCAACTTAGGAAGAAATTTCTAACTTTCCTTTCTAATTTAAATACATGCCTCTGAGGGATATGAGTAAAGATGGTTGAGGTTGGATCAGCTGGAAGATCACAGAAGCATATAAACAGCATTGACTATTTTAAGTGAAACCATTTTAATAGACAGCTGGTTTAGGGCTCAGACAATGGAACACCAAGAAGAAGGCTTATTTTCCTCCTCCATAGTAAATCATGTGTCTGTTCACTGTGAGGAAGGTAGCCCACTATGACAGCAGCAACGACAACAGTGGCTTAAATAAATCAATGTGTTTATCAGCAAGTGAGGAGAGGCCTGCTCCATAGATGGGATGGGAGGCGAAGAGAAAGCATATAAAATATTTTATTTAAATAAATCAATTGATGGTGAATCAAGTTGGGATAGGTAACCTAAGAAACAAACAAACAAACAAAAAAAATACAATATCAAGTAAAAGGTCATGTTTAAATTAATCCTGCCAATGGCAAATAAATCCCATCAGGCATCAGGGTTGCTTGTAAAGAATAAAAAGTAAAATGGGCAGCAGTTCCAACTTCAAAAATCTGATCAAATGAACAAGCAAATTTTTAAAACTGCATATACTTAGAGCTGATTTACGTCTCTAATATGCTTGCTTCCCTGCTCTAAACACCAGCTTCTGATAAGCAGAGAGAAAATAATGCACCCTTTTTCGTGTTCTCTTTACTTTCAGAATGAGAGTTTTTTTCCCCACAATAACTTTTTCATAGTTTACCTAAAGAACAAAACAGACACTGCTAAACACAGCACCCCTATGTAACAAAGGTACTGGAAATTTTGTTTACAGAGGATAAAATGTCAGCAATTTCAATTACTCCATTACGAAATAACATGTAGCATCTTTGAAAATCAATCAGCCTAAACACAAAACCTACCTCGATTGCCACTGTGTTAGAAGGCATCCGTGAGGCACAGGGATTTCATCTCCACTTTTCTAAAACATCATTGGGCCTTAAAACTCAATTAAAACTAACTATGGATAAAGGCCACACATTAAAAGGAAAAATACACAAGGACCATACACCACGATCACACTTCAATAGAATACCAAAGGGAAATAGAGATTTGAGTAGGAGTTTTTTGTTTGTTTGTTTGTTTACTTTTCTAATAGTTTTAACTCTTTATGTCCCAAGCCAAAAGAGAGGGAAAAAGACCTTTAACTTTGGCTCAGCAAAATATGAAGCATTTTTAGGAATAAAATGTTTTCATTATGACCCTTAGGGCTTACAATCAAATAATGGGAGACATACTAGTTTAAGAAAAAAAAAAGAAGAAGAGATAAAGAAACTCCCAATTTCCAATTACATCAAAACAGTCACCTCGCAAAGATGTCACTCCTTTTCCTAGATCCAAAAGTCCAAAACCAATGTGCTACCTTATAAAACAAGCTCACAAACGTACAAATTACCTCCTTCAACCAGAAGTGCAATGCCCCCCAAATAAGAAGATTCAATAAGCCTTTGGCAGCAAATTACCAATAACCACACTAATCAAAAAATTGTATGAACATCTATAATATCAACATACCGTAATGATAATTACATTTGACCAACAAGTTCCACTGCTTGCCATTTCAGAAGCAAAAAGCACTAATATG